CCTATTTACTTACATCATACTATCTTATAATATCAAAAAATATGCTTTATTTATAAAAGTACCTATGAAGTAAAATAAATATTATATATGTTTATAAAATTATATAAGTTGTAGGATATTGGTATTCGCTTTGTGGTCGCAATACATTTTGAACTTGAAAAAACCGCAGTCGCAGAGCTTCGCTACCTTGCACTGATTTGTTCAATTCGTCACTCTATAAATACGAATGTGGGACAAATACGTTTATTCGTTTCCTGAATCTTGAAAAGGAAAGTGCTAAGAAAATATAATATTATAAAACATATAAACAGATAGTATATCACACAAATTATAGTGAGCCAGTGTTATTTTGTTTGAGAGTGCTGGAGATAAGTGAGTATATTATTTTTTATTAAATTTTAGTTTTGTACTCGTGGTTAGCAAAGATAGATAAATTACGCCAATCATGACTTTAGCTATTAGTAGTTAAATATTCAATCATGCAAAATTTCACGAGTACTCCCCAATAGTTTCTTTTTGAAAGTTTTGGCAATCGGTAATATAATTACAGTGCAATCTCCGTAATTCGACCTAATTGTTGTAAGAAGATGTTCGAATTATGGAATGTTTTCAGAAAAATCAAAAAATATTTTTAATATACGGCTGCTGGGTCTTATTTAAATAATTTAATTTTGCCCACAGATGACTGATGCCATGTCCGAATCTAAAAAGAAATGTAGACAGTACAGTGTTGATTATTTGAAATTTGGCTTCATTCCATCATTGCCGGACAAACAATCGCCTATGTGCCTTTTATGCAACAAAGTTTTGGGCAATGACGCTATGAAACCATCTAAACTGCATCATCTGAGAAGATGCCACCCTGATAAAACAGAGAAAGGTTTGAAATACTCTCAAACACTCAAAGATAAATTTCAGAAGAGACCTACACTGGACAGAATGTTCTCTTCGACGTCACAAAGAAATGATGATGGTTTGCGGGCGTCTTACAATATCTCGTTACTTATAGCAAAATCCGGAAAACCGCATACTATCGGAGAGAAGTTAATTTTGCCAGCCATTGAAGAGGTTTTAAGAACTGTTTTACACAAACCTGCATCTGATATCACTAAAAGAATCCCCTTAAGCAACAATAATGTTGAAAGACGTATTGATGAAATGAGTTCTGATATTGAAAGCTTCTTATGTAATTATTTGCAAACGACCCATTTCAACTTTACCTGATAATGCAGCATTATTATTGACATATGTTCGTTTTATTATGAATCAAGAAATCTACGAAGAACTGCTCTTCGCAAGAACTTTGATAACCGACACTAAAGGTGAATCAATATTTCATGTTTTAAAGGGTTACTTCATTGAAAAAGCAATTCCTTTATCAAATATGATATCAGTAGCTAGAGATGGAGCACCTACCATGGTTGGACCTTATCGTGGATTCATAAGCTATTTAAAACCAAATGTGTCAGGGGTGTTAGCAATACATTGCGTCATCCATCGATAACATTTAGTTGCTAAAAATTTGAGCGTTAGATTGCCTGAATCACTTCATTTAGTCATTGGTGCAGTAAACTGAATCCGAAGCAACGCGTTGAATACGCGGTTACAACTTACGTTTAACATTTAAATGCCTCTATTCAGATTTTGAATCTAGGTTTGAGGATATTTTGACTATGGTAATACCACCATGGATAATTAGTCCATTTGGTGACATAGAAGAAACGAATGTCATAATACAGGAGGAAATGACTGAACTAAGTACAAACGAAGAACTTAAGGTTCAGTTTAAAAACGGATATCAGCAGTTCTGGCTGCAAAACAACATACCCTTTACTTATCCCGTATTATGGAATATAGCGAGGAAATTTTTAATTTCCCTTCCATCGTCATACCTAGTGGAAAGGGGGTTCAGCGCTGCTACCAATCTTCTAACGAAAAAAAGAAACAGACTGGACATCATTAGCCGAGGAGATTTAAGATTAACCCTTACAAAATTGACGCCAAATGTTGATAATTTATTATTAAAGCATCAGGTTCATCCTTCTCACTAAAAATATTGACTTATTGCTTATGTTATTTTATTTATAGTTTATTTTATGTTTATTGGTATCTGACCAATAAATGCCCGCATTGAGAATAAGTGTCTGCATTGATTTTTTTATAGAAAATATTTTTTTTTAAATTATTCTGAAAATTCAAGGATAGCTACACACTAAAATTCGTTAATCTTTTGCCTATTTTTAGATAACTTAAACGTATAAGAAGCGGAATTTAGTCAAACTAACAATGAAATTATTGTAGAACATACGTTTATGTTATAATTAATAAAAGAACTCGCTTATTGTACTATTTTAGGTAAACAACTTTTGTTTATTATTTTTCACTTTTTTTTATTTTATCCCTCTTATTTTTTTCAATGCGGGCACTTATTCCCAATGCGGGCACTTATTGGTCAGACACCTGTTTATTTAAATGTTACGTATATTTTACATAACAGATACAAAATTTTATTTTGAGTAGTTTTAATTTAAATTCAATTAATAAATGTATAAATTAACATGTGTTTTTACTTTAAGTTTTTAACACTAAACTTCACTACAGTTAGAAATTTACAGGAAATCAATATCAGGTAAGTAGGGCGTCTACCCAACACGGAAAAGCATGGCAAGGGGTCTACGACACAAAAAAGTTTGGGGAACTCTGATGTAGAGTGTACGATGGCGTCAAGTGAAAGACGTGCAAGCGCTGTGGTGTTATCGCGAAAAGTGGTCCGCAATGTAAAACTGTCATACATGCAGGATGCGTCTAGTACATGAAAAGCCTGCAGAAGAAACAATCAAAACAATGGAGGATGAACAGACCGATGACGATACCGACATCTCATTTTGCTGTGTCAAAGAAAGAATTGATTTAGATATAAGTGAGAAAGACAATCTATTACTAAGGGAACTAATCAATAATAAGAATTTGATTATGAAAACACAACAGCAAACCATTAAAAGTTTGCTTGACCAAGTATCAACTTTATCAAAGATATCGGAACAGACATCGCTATCTGTTGCCGATATTAACAGGCAACCAATTGCATCGTCATGGTATCAAGACGGCAAACACAAGACATCTAGTAACAAGTACAGTGATGTTATAAAGGAACCATCCAGTTCATCAATTCAAAAGCCAGTCACAGCCAATAATACTCGCAATCCGTGTAACGAGGCAGCAAGTGGCACTTGCAGTCGAGCCGGCGCTAGTCGTTAAATGGTGCTGCAGTACCAGCAGAAACGTCCGCGTCCACTTTGTCCACTTCAACCCAACACTCTGGCGACGACGGTGATGGAGTTACAAGCGCTATTACGTGGCAGTTGGTCGATCGACGACGCCGAAGACGCAATCTAATAATTGGGAATGGTTCCGACAGCTGTCCGGGTAAGGGCGTTGAAAGGAAAGTTGCGTTGCATGTCAGCCGATTTCATCCGAAAACGAAATTATGTGAGATGGGGACAATGGTTAGGGCTAATTTTCCTGATTCTATTGTTGAATGTATTACTTCAAAATATCCGGATATTTATTTGCCATTTAAAGTAACTATATCAGAAAGTAGCTCTAAAAATGCATTAAACGTATCAATATGACCTAAAAATACGTGTATAAATCGTTTTTTACAGAAAAGAAGAGTTTTACCGACATCGACATAGCCTTCCAGCCTAATCTTATACTGCTCAATGTTCAATGCTTAAATATTGAAAAAGCCAATCAGCTACATGTTATGGTATCTGACTATACAAGAGTGAAGTTCCTCTGTCTAACTGAAACTCGGGCTACAGCTGAATCACTTAATAATTTCGTTATTGAGAATTTTCAGTTATTTAGCTCGTCGTACAAAGGCGATGGCCTGGCGATTTATTGTAGAGATGATGTTATTGCACAGCATATTGACGTATCTCAGTTTTCAGTGGATAAGAATATTGAGTTGTGTGCCACTCAATTCTCAAATGGTGGTATACGTAGCATCATCATTTTGTGCTATGGATCTCCCTCGGGAGATATGAAAATATTCCATGACAATCTGACTAAGGCTTTAAATTTTTTTTTCAGGTCAAATATTAATAAATTCTCTGTGGCGACTTCAATGTAGATTCTTACAATCACAACGACGATAATGAGACGCTGGTGAATGCACTGTCTGAGTTTGGCTTGCACCCATAGGTAGGTTGGCCAACAAGGATTGGGCGCACGTCCATCACAACGATAGACCAAGTTTTCACCAACTTCAATGATAAATGTTTGAACTGCGTTGTTGATAATGCAATATCTGGCCATAGAACAGTACTTACACAAATTATGGAATGTCCTCAAGCTGAGGATGCGGTAAAAGATACAGTTAAAAGGGTTTTTGATACCTGGTCTGATCAAAGCTTTGTTTCAGACATAAGTAAGGAAAACTGGTCACCGCTTTATAGTTACCGGGATACAAATAATGCACTTAAGTACTTCTTTCGAATTCATGCTTGCGTATACAGCATATGTTTTCAGCAGTTATCCCTGAATACAGACAACATTATCTAGATGCAAAAAGGCAACATCAGGAGCTTGTCAGAAAAACAAAAAAGGCATATATACGAGCCCCTTCCCACTTCAGTTGATTCACACACAAGAGTTGTACCAAAATATGCCTTTATAAACTAAACATGACGAAACTATTTACTTCTAAAACAATTTATTTTCTCAAACACATTTTAGTTTCACTCTAGTCGTAAAAAAAAAATTTGAAATCTCTTAGACCTATAACTAATAGAACATCTGAACAAATAAACAATGTGCGAATAAATGCGCGAAGTTAACAAAGCAACAATTGAAAGATTACCATTGGGTATTATCACATTTATTTTTTATTACGGCTGAAATTCCTTGGGTCATAGTGTTAACCAAGTTTTGGCAAAAATTTGGTGTAAAACAATCCCATATTTCTTGAAGCTTTTGTCTCAGTTCGGTGATTATACGAGCAGGATGCTGCCGTAGAACCTTTTTCATCTCGTGCCACAAAGTTTCAATAGGTGACAGATCTGGACTGCTAGAAACCCATTTCAAAAATGGTACATTATTTTCTTCCATCCATCTTATAGCCTTTTTTGAGGTATAACACGTTGCACCATCTTGCTGAAACACAAAATCTTGGCCGGATGTCAAACATTCTTCCATCACTGGTAAAAGCGATTCTTCTAAAATTGCCAAAATATTTGCTTGTATCCACATTTCCATCAATAAAATGAAGTCCATAATGGATGCTGGAAATTTCACTTTTCTCTTCAGACAGTCGACATGGAATGCTTCATTTTGTTTGGGAATAACTTTACTGCGACTGTCACCAACACAAACTTCGAATCGGGCCTCATCACTACATTGTATTGCACACCATTGTTGAGGTGTCCATTGTCTATGTTCTTTAGCACATTTAAACCGATTTATCTTTTGAATGGACTTAATAGTGGCTTTTCTTTGGCGTATAAACAAGTTTTGCAACTTTAGGGTTCTTACTTCACTTTTTTTATAAGAAAACTTACCTTGCAAGTGCTAAATCCCAGTTTGTGGGACTCTCTATGAGATGTGGACCTCGAAATTCTCCTTCCAACAGCGTCACTCCACAGAGCACTTAATTATAAATAATTGGCACGCCTGTTTTTCACGATTATTCTTCTTAATGCTCTTTGGTCCGCATTTGTGATATTACTTTTTTTCACATATCGTGGCTTCATATTAACTGAACTGGTTACGTTATATCTTCTAACAATATTTTTCACACTTTACCGCGAAAAGTCTAACAAAGTTACAATTTCTGAGTTTGATTTCCCAGAGTTAGAAAATTTAATTATCAGTAACCGAATTTTCTCACTAATAACCTTTCCTCTACCCATTTTGAAAACCTTAACTACCCAAAGCTATTTTAAACGTATTCTGACTGCTGTGATTAATAAAAACAATTGTCATGGCTTTTATTTTTCACAGCCACCTATGCGTTATAGACTTATTTTGCATTGAAATGAAAATAGGCTGATATGTTGTATTGTATCATGTGTTATTTTTATGCTGCAAATTTGATTAGGGAGTGATGAAGTTGGTGTTTTCTACTATATATTATCAAAATATTCATTGTTAATATTTTAAAACTATAACACCCTGGTACATTTTTATTATGTGTGTTTGATAAGAAAAAACTAAGATTTCAATTGTTGGGCCAACTGAGGCGGGAAGGGGCTCGTATTATCAACAAAAAATATCCAATTCGCACAACGTGATGAAGGCTGCCTGGAATGTGGTTTCTGACATAAACGGAAGAAACAGAGTATAAAAGAAGATTGTACTGTATGATAATGGATTAACCATTAGAAATCTACAAGAAATTTCTAATTATTTTAACATCTATATTAAACAGGCTCCGTTGGATATTATTCAAAAAATGTCTAAGGACACAAATCCGGTTCCAAGTGATCATACCTGCGAACAAAAATCTTTTATGTTCGCGGGTATAAACCCGTTCTTGGAAGAAGAATTATATAAAGTAACTAATGATAAGTTAAAAAGCAAGCGTCCTTCAGACACCGATGAAGTTCCGCATTTCTTAGTCAAGAAAATTTCATTGTACATAACCAAACCTTTTGTTTTTCTAGTTATTATCATTCTGCACTGGTGTATTTCCAAGCAACCTAAAAACAGGAAAAGTAACTCCAATTCATAAGAAATTAGATACTTCTTTGGTCAGCAATTACAGACCGATGACTGTTCCATGCTGCTTTTCCAAGGTTCTTGAGTATTGTTTTTTAGATCGACCTCTGCTGTAATTGGAAACCCATGACACTCTTTATCCAACCAACATGGTTTCCGTATTGGAAAATCAACGATGACTGCATGTCATTCATTTATCAACAGGTTAGTCAATTGTATTGAGGCAAACGTGTATGGTTAACATAAATATAGGCGTACCACAAGGATCTATATTGGGGCCAGTGCTGTTTTCCCTTTATATAATTAACCTGGAGCAATGTTTCGCTGAAGCACATTTCACGTGGTATGCAGACGATGCCTCCATCATTATATCAAACAAAGACGAGGCTGATTTAATGAATAAATGTAACACCTTAGTGTACAACATCAATAGCTGGTTTGAGGAAAGTCAGTTACTTCTTAATAGCGAGAAGACTACAGTTATAAGGTTCCATAATGTTCAGAAGTCGATGTCAGCGATTCAGCTTGATCTAAATGGTTCAGCACTGCAGAGTGATAAAAGCACCAAGCTTTTAGGGCTCCACTTAGACCAATGTCTCAACTTTAAAGGACATTGCGGTTATTTGTCATCAAAACTGAATTCACAAGCATATTTATTCAAGAACCTGCGATCTGTTTTCACAGGATCAGCTATTGATGTTGTATCATGGTCAGGTTGAGTCTCGCATGCTGTATGCTTTGTGCTTCTGGGGTTCATCGGTGAACGCTTCTCAGGTATGATGTATTGGGGACTGCCGATTGAGAAGCCTAATTGACGTCCGTTCCAATTAGAGATAGGTTGATGTGCGGACTGAAGAGTAATGAAATGTTAATACGAAATCCTCCAAATTTGCTGAATCTGAGAGAGAGACGCTCTAGGGGTAGAAGAGACATTGATACATAGATAAAACCCCTATAAATCTTACTTCCTAAAATAAAATGGATAAAGAAACCGTGTTACATTTTTTTTGAAGGTCGAATGTATGGAGCTGTATGGAGCTGGGAAAACGCAGAAATATGATTTGTTTCTACATCAACTTTAGAGAAAAATATAAAATTCCGTGGGTTATGAAGTTATTACCAACTTGCGGATCAACCTCGTCAGCAACTTTTTTGATTATACTAGTTTTAGAATATGAACTTAAATCTTAGGACTATTGAAGTGAGAAGTGTTCTACATATTCCCAAGAGTCCAATCAGGATCCTTATTCAAAAGTTACGGCCTATTAGGTTTTTGACGTTATTGTATCCATACTAACAACAAACCTTTTTTGTCGTCACCTTACCTCAGCTTGCTTTCAAAATATCAACATACGATTCGCAGTTTTCGACTCATAATAAACAGGTCGAGAATGACACAGCAGACAGACTAAAATCATAAAGTAAGATCATTTGTATAAACTTCTATTCCATTATAAGATCATTATTGTATACGTTGTTATATGACCTCGGTAATCCAGCGTACTTGCCGATTGTTCACAAATTTGTCATTAGAAGATAAAAACACTTAATGGACAGCGGACGGGCTCTTATTATCTCATATGTAGGCTCGCGTTGCAAACTCACTAAAGCTCTACGATCCACAATGCCGCGAGGCCTACGGAGTATAACTACTATGAATGAAATTTGCGTCATATCCTGCTATGTTGGAAAGTTCTATTAGTACCATTAGCGTGAACTCATTTTGTCATAAGCAGAACGCTCCCCAACTTCTGAGTAACTTTCTAACCGCAACTGAAATCAGTGTTGCATCAACAGCATATGGATATAGGTTTTCCGTATTTCTCAACTTTCTGAAACGTTTTGCGGCTTTAGGCTTTAGGGAACGTCTTCCAGGTCACATGGGATCAATCCGGAAACGGTTGTTTTACTTATTTGTGCAATTAGAGGCAAAGGCTGGGTAAAATAAAAGAGTTTCACGTCTTTACTTACGAACGGTGTTAATAACCTATGATTATATATATATATATATATTTTTTTTATTTTTTTTTTATACTCCAACTACCACGAAGGCCTAAGGCCTAAGCACCCATTGGGTACCGTGGGGCTATGGGGGATACATGGGAAAGGGGGGACGCCACACGGACTCTGGCGAGGGAACACGTGTGCATGCAACATGCACACATTCTGGCTCCGCCTACGAGAACCGCCGGGTGGTACCTCCGCGTTCGACAGTCAGAGACCATCTACCACCTACGGACAATCACAACATCCATGGCCAAGAGAAACATTTCTCCTGGGACGGGACTCGAACCCGCACAGCGCACGGCGGCTGATCAGGAGACCGAAGGGTCTACTACTGCGGCCACCGCTGCTGCCTAAAACAAACACACAACATCCATGGCGAAGGCGAGATTCGAACTCGCGGCCCGGCCGACCGGCTGATCAGTAGCACGACACTCTGACCCACGCGGCCAACCGAGGTCCCCAATATATACATAAATGGGGGGGGTATATATATATATATATATATATATATATACCGTAACCAACAAACTCAGACTACGTAGAAGGAATCGAGCTTACGATTCAGTTGTCACCAAAAGTTCAGTCTGTAGACAGGATAAAAGTGCATACTTCAAGTGGAGTTGAGAAAAGTTAATTCTTTGACGGTTATGTCATTTTATTCGTATTTCTTGAAGTTGCAGGTGTTTTCAGATAATTGAAGTGTTAAATGATTTCAATACATGACACTTCTTGCATAATTTGCAAAGAGCAGCAAGCTTAATGAAGGCATAGTTTTCCACTTGCATTATTATTATGTTTATACAGCGTTGTCACTTTGACAGGAAATGGTAGTCAAATTAGTCAAAAGTATGCACTAAAACTAGGCAATTTTGGAGTCAAACAGCACAATGCAAGCATACAGGCTTAGCACTTTCTAGTCTATCCGAATACGTTAATTGTAACCTATACGCCCCGAACGTAGGGTATAGCTAATTTGGCTAGTCGCCTGTTGCCCGCGTAATGTCGCCGTTAATATTTCTTTAACGACTTCTCTGCTGTGGGGCGCGTTTCTTATCCATTGCAGTTGAAGTTGCCGTTGGCGAAGAATGAGGCGTCTTTTGTTTAGCGCATATTCGTCACGTAATTAAGTTTCCGCCAGACATCAGCAGACTACGCCCGTGCCCCTGAAGCGGATAGCGTTAGAAATCGATGGAATGTTTCAATTTATTCTAACCCAGTAACCAGCCGAATTGACGGACCCAGGACGAATGCAAGGAATTTACGAAGCTACCACTATACACACGACTAGGCTTAGGTGAAACTTTTGAACAGTTAATACAATGCGGGAAGTATATACTTGCAATTCGATCTTCAAATCCAAGTCTATATTTTGTTCCATTTTCCACGGAAGCATTGAAATTTAATTTAACCCTAGAAAGATAATCTATGTCCTCGAGACGTACGGCCCAACGATATTTATTTTTTTACCCTTGCTAAGGCCCGTATCGTGAGTCGTCCCTACAATTGTAGGGCGCGTGTATGGCCTCCTTGATTGTCATACTCCTTTCTCTCCTTCAAAAACTTCTAGATTACACT